AAAGGCATCAGCTCCTCAGGAGAAGGAAGTTCTTCTTCCCATTTAGCAAACCAATTAGAATCTTCTTCTCTCATTTCACTAAACCTTCAAGAATATTCTAAATTACAAGATTATGGACCAATGACAATTGAACTGAAAAAATGAGTCTTTTTAACATATGGGGTTTGTGATAGACAGTATAAAAGTTGAAAAAAATCAGAGTTTTGCTCTCCTTTTTTGAAATACAGATTGAAGGACTTAATTGATAAATGAACTTGAAAAACAAGGTAGGACCAGGAAAAGGAATTTTCTTAGAGAGTGGAATTGTGATATACAGTATAAAACTTGAAAAGATTAGATTTTTCTGAGATGGGGTTGAAACTTTTTCTGGGGTCAATGATCTCTACTTCTTGGAAATTCAGATAGATAGACTAATTCTAACAAATGAACTGAAGACTAAGGTAGAAGAAAAAAAAAAAAAGGGAGTGTATTTGAGAATTATTGTCTTAACACTTCAGCTACCTAATGACAATTATTGTACCCCACATCCCCAATACTAGCTCCCATTTTCTTGTGAATTACATGATACAAACCTAAAAATTGAAAAAACAGAAAAGGGCAGCTCGGTATCGAAATTCCTGCGTTCACGTAGGATTCAGGAAAGGGTCACATCCNGATTTTTTCTGAGATGGAATTTTGTCTTTTTTTTGCTGTCCTCACCCCTTACAGTAAAGCTTTGATATTTGGGTGTTGATGGAAGAGGAGGAGGAAGACCAATGAGGTCTGCTTTAACAGAGGAGACAAATGAGTTTAGCTTTGTAAATTTGCAATAATGATGTGATTTTGGATGTGTTTGCAAGGGGTAGGGGTGGAGAGAAGGGGGGGTGTGGGGAGGTATGGGTAGTATGTGATTTTATTATTTGGGAATTTGAGGATCTTTGTGCTTAAAACCAAAATTTATAGTTTACTACAACTAGTATTGATGAAACTCTTACAAAATTTCCACCACTCCATTCCCCTAAAAAGAATATTTTTATTTTTTTAAAAGGTATTTATGTTATGGTTGCTTGCTAAGAGCCCTGTTAATTCAGATTCGCGAAGTAAAATTTCATTTTAGAAGTAAAAAATTCCCTATTAAAGTTAACTCCATTTTTAAGACTTGATTTTGAAACATTTAATTAAGGATTGAGGTATGTTTAACACTCTACCACAGCCTTTAATGGTAAATAAGACTTTATTTCTACTTTCTTTTTCTTTTGGGAAATTATCACATCTCTATTATATACTACTCTTTTTGGTATATCTTGGTTGTACCTCAATTATTTTAATAAGCAACTTGTCACTAAAATTTATAAGCAAAGGAAGAAGTATTTATTCCTACTTAATGTTTATATTATGTAATTTGACTTTAAGAATCATAAATTAAATTAAAATACTCATTAATAACTATGAGTAATTATAAACGTTGATTTATGTCTGTGGGATAAATACATTGGCATCTTTCGCTAGACTTATAGCCTGTTTGGTCAAGCTTCTTTTAAGGCAAAAGTAATTTTTTTTGGTCAAAAATATTTTTTTCTAAAATTAAGTTGTTTGGCCAAGTAGAAGCAGTTTTGGAGAACCAGAAAAAAATGACTTTTCTCCAAAAGTATTTTTTTGAAAAATATTTTTGAGAAAAATATACTTAGAATTATTTTTTTAAAGCTTGTCCAATCACTAATTGCTGCTCAAAAGTATTTTTAGCACCAAAGTATTTTTGAAAAAAAATACTTCTGAAAATAAGTTTATTTTTGCATTTCGGCCAAACGGGCTATTAGACCTAACCCCACAAAATCCATAGCGCGTGTAAATCACGACCCACTATAAGTGGACCGTACCGATCAATCAGGTGACTAGTTAATGGTGCTTTCCTAATTCCTAAAATCAAGGTCTCATAGATTCCTTGTTTTGGCAAGAGAAAAATGATTGTTAAATAACAGAAAATAAAAAAGAAATACTATTTCTACAAAAAAGATTGCTTTTTCTGTACTTTCTTATGGAGCAAAAATGATACGCGCATCGGCAAAAAGTTATCCTATCAAAAAAGAATAAGTAAATTTCGGTAAATCATTAACTTTGTGTTCATTACTCAAAAATATTTTTTTTATTATTATATAAAAGCTTTTTTAACTTTATATTTATTACCCAAAAGTCACTTTTCTTTTTTTTGTTATACAAAAATCATTTCACTATGTTCTAGTTATCATAATAATCACTTTGATCATATTTTACAAACCTTTAACCTGAAAAGTCTATTATTAATCCTATCATTTATTTAATACCTTCTTATATGTTATATAATATATTTTTACCCACAGATTTTTCTTATAAAAATAACTTAATATTATTTTATTTATTATTTTATAATATATTCGTAAATTTAATTTATCTTAATATTAATTTTCAAGATATATGAGTAGCATTATTAAATTTGTCAGTAACACTACCGTGAACAAATCTCAAGTCCACGTCTTAATCATGCTTAATGAAATATATTTAATAAAAATTAAAAAATCAAAAATTATTGATTTATCAGCCAAGCTATGCCCATTAATTTAATAAAATAAATACTCACATTTAGCAAAATGACACATTAGATTAATATTTTTAAATAAATAATATTAACAGATAAAGCTTTAAAAAAATTAATATTAAAGACAAATATCTTTGAAACTTCTTTACAAATTTCTATTGACTATAAAAGAACTATGATTTGTTAAACAAATCTGTTTCTATTATTTTAAATAAATATTAAAAAATAAATATTTTTTTATCAATTTTATATTTAAAATATATTCATGTTTGAATATGATTAAAACAATTGAGTGCCATGAAAAAATTAGATGTATGGATATATTATAAAAATAATAAATAAAATAATTTAAAGTATTTTAAGTAAAATACCTAGGTAAAAATATATTATATAATATATAATATAGAAGGTATTACATAAATGAGAGGATAGAGTTTTCAAGTAAGAATATTATAAAATATGGCTAAGGTGACTTTTGTGATAAATAGAACAAAGTAAAATAATTTTTGTGTAACAAAAGAAAGAAAAGTGACTTTTGAGTAATGAACACAAAGTTGAATATTTTTTACGTAACAGAAAGAAGAAAAGTGACTTTTGCGTAATGAACATAAAGTTGAATGATCACTCATCAAATTTACTCAAAATGGCAACACTTCATCCGGTGCAACAAATTTACAAAAATTAAAATAGAGGAATTATTTAATATGCTCTAGAATCTTAATTTTATCTCCTCTTCCAAACAAAAGTCACTCTCTTAACAGTATTTTCTTATAAACTAGAAACTTCTTTTATGTGCTTAGACCCACTTTTAAAACAGAATATATTTTGTCATTCAAATTTAAACCTGCAATGTCTAAAACGTAAGATGATCAACATTAATCAATTAAAATGTATAATGGGAAACAATATACATATGCATTATGTGGCTTGAGTGTTGATGCACTTGTTATTTACAGTGATAATACGTCGTGCCTATTGAATACAAGTAATAAATGAATATAATCACAAATTCAACATTCAGTAACAATCTTGACTAATTTCAGAGATTAAATACATCTTGTACTAAATAAGACCTTTAATGGTATTTGAAGGACTTATTGCCATGGGGTTAATTTAGAGTTACCTCGAAAAAAAAATTGTTGTTATTAATACTCATTAAGAATGCAATCAGGAAAAAGAAAAAATGCAATGGGTGTTTAGTGTTTACACTATCAACAAATGTATAACATGTCTATTAGCAACAACAAAAAAATGTATAACATGTATGTATTATTTGAATATTTTATTTAATCATGATTAATATATTATTATTTTATTAAATCGTTTAAGTCGATATATTTTATTGTAAAATAAGTTTTACCCTCAACACACCTATTTGAATTACCAAACAAAACAAAAGGATGTCAAAAGTAATTTTTTGTTTTAAAAAAAAAACTCGCATCACAAAAGAAAAAAAAATCTTGGTAGTTTAAAGTTGTTTACAATTCCTCCACTAAGATGGCCAAAAGAATCGACTTATGAGAGAGTTGTCTTCCTCTAATCTGAATCTTATGAAAAGTTTTAATATTTTTTCTATCAATGGAGGAGATGATTATTTTTTTGATAACTTTGGTGTCTGTATTTAATTTTACGGAATACTTACAATCTACCGGCAATACTTATTTCATCAAGTTTGTTGCTGGAGTGGGAATCAAATAAACTTAGTTGTGAGTTAGAATGCATTTTTTTAATTCATTTTAATTATTATTGAGATGGATAGTGCTTTTCTTTAACAGATAGGGAAATGTTTTTGGGTGCTCGATGTTAGTGGTGGCAACCTCGTGGGCAAGAAGGGGATATTAGGATTAGAAATTGACTTTTAATCGTAAGGTAAATTCTGGATTCGCGTTTTTATATAAAATTATACTAATAAATATAGTAGATGTAACTTCAAAAAAAGAATAACGTATCTGCCTCTCGCCCGCCTCTCGCTGTTGTTGTTTGATCAAGAAGAAAATCCAAAAAGGAACTCGAATTTTGGTCAATCGCTCGAGAATTAAATTTTACTATAATTTTATTAGCTCTTGAGATATTATTATAAAACGTATTTGTGATCTGTTTTTAGTAGGATATTTAAAAGAAATACATAGTATTGTCTAGATTCATCAATTTACCAAAACAATAATGATCTGTTTGCTTTTTCAATCTAAATATATTAAAATCATGGACGAGTCAAGCCGTCCACCAGATTTTACTTTTAAATTTCTCAGTTGTGAGACACTGGAATCAAAATGTTGTCCAATCTTTGGTCTATTAGCTTCCAAAAATTACTCTCTGAGACAGGTCACGAATTCTCTTTTACAGCCAAATTTGACGAAAAAACAAAATAGAGATCAAAGTTTATTATTCATTCTTTTAGAACCACATTGCCTGTTTTACCGGATTCAGTTCACCAAAAAAAGTCTGAAAGTGAACAACTCTTGAAATAATGTTGTTGATTTTAACTAAATATTTCAATGCATTGTGACAACAAGAAAAAAATGAAAACAAAATAAAGAACTCGAACTAAGCCCCAGCCCCTTTTGGTTATTTATTATTCATATAAAGAAGCAGCCAACAGGGATTTGGCTGGAGGTTGCAGTGCAACAGCACCTCTCTCAGGTCTCGAATACTTCTTGTAAATCACTTTCAGCTTGTGTTCTGGAGCTTCCATGTGATAGCTTACCAGCAACTTTGCACAACCCCTGTGTTACAAAACAAGTACAAATATATATATAAGTATAATATAATTCAAACAAGAGAAGAAAATGGCTAAGTTTTGTGTTACTCACAGTAGCTGAGACTCTGAGAAACCAGTATGCAATTTTAGTGTGTCGTTCCAAAACGGAGTGCAATTCAGTGTGTGTTGAGCAACATAGACTGCTGAGGCAGCAATCATCGATGGGCAGTAGATATTTGTTGCATAATTCATTAACCCCAATTCAGCCAGGAAATAAACCATGTTTTCCATCTGTATAAAATCGAATTTCTTCTGTCAGTTTCATAGACAAATATATGCTGTCTTACAGCAGACAATTGCAAGAATTCAAGACAGTGACAAACTCACTTGTGCATTAGAAACAGCAGCTTTGATAAAGCGAACGAGGAACACATAAGGTGTTGGAACTGTTAAGTACCACTCCAATTGGCCAAGAATCCTTTTCTCCATTCCCAACACCTGCTCATGACTGTAAGCTTTATCTGAGATGCACACAAAGTCATTCACCTGAAAGTAGATAAAGTATTTGGTTGTTAGCAACTTTGAAATTGGGAAAAGTAACTTACCATAGACTTAAGTGACTGACACAATGTTACCTCGGGAGCCCAGATTTCTTCATATTTAGAGGCAATGAGCATAGCACTCATGCCTACTAACTGCAATTCCCTCCTTGATGTAGTTGTGACCGCGAGATAACGATCGACGATATTGATTGTGAGGTAAAGAGTCTCTTGACTAAGCTCAAATTTGTGATGCACTTCAATCAACCAATCAATCAGAATAGCTCTCATTCTTTCAGTTATCTCAAGCTGTGAATCCATGTAATCATGAATTCTGCTCTCATTCTAGTGTAACACAAAAAGACAGTAACTATATTTAGTTTAATCAAGATTTGTGAACAAGAAACAAAATGCAAATTAAAAAGGATAAGGAACACAACAATATACCTCAGCTATCTTATAAAAATTGTAAATATCCTCAACATATTCCACCACAGCCAACTCATTATTCACATCAACAGCATCAATGTCCACAATCTGGACCTTTGGTTTATGACTCAGTCCACAAGCAGCCTTTGAAAAACATAAGATAAATCAGACAACAAAATAGAGAAATATGACCGAATATAATTGTTCCAGAATTAAACAAAAAATTCCCACCTTGCTCCTAGCAGTGAGAGTTGAAGTAAGAGTTGCTTTCTTTAGTGAAGAGTCATCACCAGCCTTCTTCTTTTGCTTATTTTCCTTCACTTGTTCTTCAGTACCAGGACTAATTTCAATCACATCAGGCTTTGGTTTTACAGCAACTTTCTTATGAGCTGGTTTTTTGGCTGCAGCTTTAACCGCTAGAGCTCCTTTAGCAACGATCGGTGCATCCCCATTAACCACCAAAGATTTCTACAAATGAATAAAAGATCAACAACCCCTTTTTTATTAGTATAACTGTTTGATAAAACTTGATGAAAATACTAAGAGAAAATATGATTTTCAAGTCATAATAAATTAAACCTTTTGGTTTTCAGCTGCTGCTTGTGCATTAGCGAGCAATTGTGCACAAAAGCTCCTTGTTATGGGGCGTTGAGGAAGTGGCTTTCCCTCGACGCCACGAACAGTTACCACATTATTCCCAATATCACCAAGCGCCTTTCGGTTTCTACCTTGTGCTGCTGCTGCCATATTCTTCTGTTTTAGTGCCCCGGGTACTGCCTCACCTGACCGATGTACAAATCTTGGATTTAGTATTAACATTGCAAGAGTTGTTTTTATGTCATAGATACTAACTAGCTTCACAAATACTAAAAGAAGTGGCAAAGGATAACTGTTAAATTGTTGAAAGAACCATTTCTATGACCAAAGCTTTAAAGACTTTCTCCCAATATATAGGTCCGTGCTTTTTTTTTAATCAGGTTTTTCACAAATACCCTGCAAAATGTAGAAATAATACACCGGAGAGAGGGGTATAGAGAAACATTGTTTTGTGAAACCTGGTAAAATCCAATTTAGTTTCAGTAATATCTCTGATTAATATGCCAAAAGATCTATAAAATTAATTCATTTATTTAATATCTATTAAGAGAAAGGTGAATTCTTCAAATAAATTATATGCGAAATTCACATTATTACAATCCTTATATTCAATCTACTTCAAGTGGATAAACATTAGATCGAGATATTCTGTGAAGTAGACTGCAGACAGTTTAATTAGTTCAAACACTCTCTAAACACCAACCCATCTTTTTCAATGTCCAACTTTACTTTAGGTGAATGGCAAAAAAGACAAAGACAAGCACAAAATACTCAGGATCGGTAGTAAAAAACCCTTAAGAAAGTGAGTATAATCTTTGATCAAATTTGACAAGAAACCCCAAAAGGAATTAACAAAAGATGAGTAAAGAAAGAAAAAAGAAGAACCCAGTATTCTAACCTATATTCTGCTGTTGAAGAACGTTTCTTGAAGCCATTACAGAGAAAATATCTCTCGTTGAAATTTCCAAATCTTGGTTCCTTCCCCTTCTCTCCCCCTTACCCTCTCTCTGAAAAGCCTCTGAGAAACTATAGATTTTGGTACAATGAAGAAGACCCCTTTTTGAAGCTGCAGAATCGGCGCTACAGTTCTAACGGTCGTATTATTATTATTTTTTGAAATAGTAGCCGTTAGATGAGAGAGAGCAGATCTGACGGTGTTAATTGTGTTTCCCTATATTCCACCAAAAACTAGCCGTTAGGTTTATTATACTAAGGAATTTCGTACTGAGTATATTAATTTTACTCGATAAGGTCATTAATACTGCTACAGTTGGAAAGTCTATGACAGTGTATTGTACACTAAATTTCAAGTACTTGTAGGAAATGATTTTTACACTACCTTAATAAAAATTCACTTTGGATGCCAAAAAAAATTCCTAAACTTTTTTTACATAAAAAGAAGATCCAACAGTAAACTTTTATATTTTTTTTTATTACATCAGAGGAGGGGAGAGGGGAAAAGGTAGTAGTTGACTCGTATATTGCTAATTTCTTAGGACTAGTGTATGTTGGAGATATTGATGGTAATGAACCCAGCTAGACAATGGTTACGTGAAAGTGTTAAGATTCAAGCCCGTGCATCTAATTCCAATAAAATTCTCTTCGTCATTGAATTTTCTTTTATGTTAGACTAACAATGGATTCTTTTATTCTTATTCTTCTTCTTAGTTGCAACATAATCTTGTTAAATTTGTTGTTGTTTTAATAATTTGATGATTGAGGTTTGTTCTTTATGATTTAAAAGTTATATTTTAAATTTGAGCTCATTTGGAGTAGATTTGGGCATTGAATCGTGCGTTGGATTATTAAAATTTGAAAAACAATTTTATGCTTTAGAAATTAAGATTCGAAATTCGAAGTTGCATTAAAGAGATTGAACTACTTAAGATTGAAATTTTTAGAGTTGCATTTGAAAGATAGAAGAAATTCATATTTAATTTCTAAAGTTGCATTGAATAGATTGAACTATTTAATATTTGAATTTCTAAAATTGCATTAAATATAGAAGAGCTTTATATTTGAGTTTGTACTTTTCATTATTTGATTTCGAAGTTAAAACGGAAGGACAACTATTACTTGCAAATTGCAAAAGCGTAAAATATTGCAATTTGCTTTTGCAATTTGCAACCATTCCAAAAGAACTGGCCCGTCAAGAGAAATGAAGCCTCTTTTGCTTCTAGCCCAGTTCTTCTTATTCAATCGGAATTCGGATGAAGAAATGGCACAAGGTGACAACACATTACAAAAATTAACAATTTTTAGCCTTATATTAGGTTTGGCAAAAATAGCCCAAAACAAATGACATTATATAGCCAAATCCTAAAAAAATTACTCTCTTATATATTCTCTCTCAAACAATCGGCCCCAAACCGTCTGATTTCCCCCCTCTTCGCCGCTCACTTCTCTTCTTGTTCATTGCTCCCCCTCC